ATCGGTGGATTTGACATGCTTTTTTTGGTTCTCCTGGATCCTTCAACGACATTAACGTTCTTAATTGGTCACCTATATTTAACAACATATACAACGGATCTGCACCGGATTCTTCTTCCAATTGCATGGAACACCATATAAATATGGTTATTATCTAGTTGATGGGATCTGTCCTGAGTATGCAGTTTTTGTTAAATCGTTTACGTGTCCGAATGATGCTCGTCGGAAAAAATTCAAGAAAACTCAAGAAATGTCGAGCGGGCTTTTGGAGCTCTCAAGAAACGTTGGTTTATATTGAAAAACCAGCAATTTTTTTCAGCGAGGAAAAAATGCATGAAGTCATGTATGCATGTATAATACTGCATAATATGATTATCAAAAATGAAGGAAGAGCAATATGTGAGTATAATGAAGAGGAAACCATACCCGCGACACAAAGAATAGAAATTGGGGGCGACGAGTACATTGAAAAGAGAGCAGAGGTTCGTTGCAATGAAACATTTCACAATCTTCGTATTGATTTGGTGGAACACATTTACAAGATGCAACACATTGACCTCAATTTGGATCCGGAGGAGGACCCGGAAGACGAGTTTTCAGAGGACGACTTCATGTAGTGCGTTTATTTTAAATCGTTTAATGTATGTTTTTTTTGAGTTTGTAGGTTTAAAATTTCTAGTGTTTTTTTTAAAGTTTGTAGGATTTCTATTTGGACAATGGAAGGTAATGTTATTTTTATTTTGAAGTAATGAAATGAATGATTTTTATTAAAATTATAGTTTTTATTTAATTAACAAAAAAAACCTAAAGTATAGCACCATTCATTGGGTGTACGAGACCACACTTTTGTGGTAATCGGTGATGGGGCGTCTATTTGTCGGTTTCGTTTCCATAGCGAACTGCTCCTATAAAACTCCCAAGATTGGTTAACGGGCGGACACCCCAACACTTCGCTTCCATCCCAACCTTTGTGCAATTGGGTCTTTAAGTTTAAAAGCTATCGACATACGACACAACACAGACTGTCTTCCCCTTCATCGTTGCTCTCGAATTTTTTGCATTCCCTCATTCTCCTGTGAGTATAAAAAGTTCTAACCTAGTTTTTTTTTTCTTCATAACTAACCTGGTTAATTGTAGAATTTGGTTTGTTTGTTTTGTATGTCCTGATTGATTGTTGTTGCATTGCAGGGAATAATGCATAACAATGATCTGGTGGGATCTGTAAGAAAAAGAAAAAAATCAATAGATGTAGAAGGAGGCGATGATAGACTAAGCAGCCTGACGGATGATCTTATCCATGAAATCTTTTCTTTTATGAGCATTAAAGATGCTATCAGAACCTGTGTTTTGTCGTCTAGATGGAAGTTTATCTGGACTTCAATGCCTGACTTGAATTTTGAAAATCTCAATGATCGGCCCCACCTCTCCAAATTTATTTCTAATGTTTTGTCTAACCGCAATAAAAAAATACAAGTTTCTTCAGTCAGTCTGTTACTTGGGAGAACAGTTACGGACGATGAATCTGTCTCGAGAATTCTCAGCTTCGCATTCTCTCACAATCTCCAACAACTGAGTGTTATACGTGCGCCTGGGAATTCGATTATATTCCCATATTCCTTCATTGTGACACCAAAGTGGGACCTCCCAGCTTTAACCACATTGCATCTTCACTGTGTCAAACTCATGTCTGATGACCTTTTCTCCAAGTGCACTAACTTGAAGAACCTCATCTTAAAAGAATGCACATTAATGGAGGAGATGGAAGTTTTAACTATCTGTCATCCTCGACTTTCTGATCTTACACTTGTATCTACACCCCCGGATATGGAATTACAGGAGGGTGTGAATGTGGTTGCACCTCAACTCAAGAATCTCACTATTAAATGGTGCCAAGGGGAACATCTGATTTCTGCACCTGGGCTTACCTCCTTGGTCATAGAAGGTTTTCATCCATGCCAGAGTTTTACTTGTACAAAACCAGGTTTCCATTCTTTGGAGAAGGTTCGTATCTATTTCTATGATGCAGGGAATGCAGATGCTCATAAAATAGTTTCTCTGCTTCAACAGCTCCATAGTGTCAAGCTTCTTACACTTAATTTGCAGATTCTCCAGGTATTGGATTTGCTTCTTTCATCTTTTAATCTCAACAATGGAAAATACACTTTTATTTTTCTTTCACAAAACAAGGTATTCTTCCATTTGGCTAGCCTCTACTTGAAGATGATATAGCCTTCCATAACTATATGTGTGTGTGTGTGTGTGTGTGTGGTTATAAAGATGACATTAATCTATATCTAATTTCTTTTTGTTTTATTTTCTGCAGCGTCTTTTTTCAATAGAGGTATACCAGGAGTTGTTGCATTTGGCTGCTCTACTTCAAGATGAAATAACCCTCCATAACTACATGTTCATTCAGAATTCTGAAAAAAAAAAAAAAAAAAAAAAACAGACATATCCGTTCAACAGTGTTTAGGAAACTGTTTTTATCATTTTTATTATATGTGACATTACATACTATTTATTGTGTTTAATTTCAAGTTGTGTTTGGTTTCTTGACTGTGCAGGTGCGGCCCAGATTTAGGAATGTCAAACGGAGGATGAGGAAATCAGCGGTATGTGAGAACTTGAGAACCAATTTTTTTCAAAACCAACACCACCTAGGCCAATTGCACATAAAAAATCTAAAAAGCACGTAAAAAAACAAAAAAGTATAAACATGCATATATGTAATTTGGTTTTGTTATATTTTGTGCAGCGTTTTTCTTCAGGCATGGAAGTAAGCCCATATAAAACTTGTGTGTTGGCAAATGCAAAGATAGTAAAGTTTGTACCAAGTACTCAAGAAATAGTATACTTGGAAAAAGTAACCACATGTACTGAAATAAAAAACTATGATGATAATTCTCCAAGTTCCATCTTCCCAATGGTCTCACGTGAGGTATCTACACAATGCTATATTTTTCCTAGTTTATAACATTGTAACATTACAAAAACTTGAAATTTTTTACGACTTGCAGGAGATTATAGTTATGGGGGATATAGCATTAGCACATGTATTTGTGAGACACCTGAGGATATTGGTAAAGGAGTGTAAAGCAAATACAGATATTGAGACTGACATGGCTCATATGGATGAACATGGCAAACCACAAGTCTGGATGATGCTCTGGGCATGGGAATTGCAATATAAGCTTAGGAAAATGATGGCAATGCTTCAGCAAAGGGTAATTGTAGAACTAGAGAATTGTCGCATGATGGCATCGTTAAGGCGAAGATATAATATTATGCAGAGGGGATTAGAGACTCATCCCATAGTTACATGGTTGGAGGATATGCGTGCATTGTTTGAGCGCATTCAACGGTTGATATCTCGGCTGTCTGCATCAAAGAGCGATGTGTTGCGACCAATTTTTCTTAGTCTATGTCAAGATGCTGTCATTCTCACCAATAATATGTTGGGATGGATATTGGAGACTACAAACTCAACTCGACAGACGATGAGATTATAAGTTATGGTTAAATCAAAAGGGTCGTTGAGTTAGGATATCATTATTAAATTTTACAAATTACGTTAGAAAATTAGATAAGATTGCAATCTTTTAAGCTTAAAGAAATTATTTTTTATAAACTTCAATTCTTTTAGCAGCTTGCAGACTTTAAAAAAAACATTATTTTTCTTGCAGAATGCTAACGTTTGGTCCACCTCTTTTTCTGCAGATGTGGTCAGCTGACTGCAGACGTTTTAGTGTTTTACCTTTTGAAATACAAACAATATCTTAAGATCTATTTTTCTTCTACTGCTTCTGCCAAGTCAACACTTCTTTTCATGGATTAACGTTATTGTAAAAAACTTTAATTTAAACATCAAGTATTAAAAATAATATAACAGTAAACTGCAGAAATGGTCGAGTGGTTTGCCTTTTTTTTTTTTGCCAAACATCAAGTACTTCTACATCCCGTCTATGTCCCTCTCCTTGTTGTTGCTCATCCTCTCCTAAAGCTCAGATCAAGATGAATTTTTATAAGGCCTGTCATAACTTTACTCAACACAAAACGGTCTCCTCATGGTTTAAGGAGTTGAACCCTTGGACCAGAGATTTCATTATTAAGGAACGCCTCGTTTGGATTGACATTGAAGGAGTTCCTTTGAGAACTTGGAGCAAAGTAAATTTCTGAAATATTGTCAATAAATACGGTAGCATTGTGTATATGGATGATGATTTGGAAGAGAACCTTTTTACTAACCGCGTTTGCATTGAAACTAATCTAACGGGTATAATCTCATATGATGCTTGGTCTATGGGAGAAGTGAATAGTAATCATATGCCCTCACCTGCCCTTTTTGAATTATGTGATTTTATTGATAATTCCAAGAGACATGATCAAGATTTTATTAGTCCTACAAATTCTAAGAGGCAGGATGATTTTAATGTCTTGTTATTGGTATTGATTATGATGCAAGTTCTCCGGATCTTGATGACACAACTCATGAGGATTTGCTTCATGATCGTTTTCAGTGGATGAGATCTAAAAAGAAAGATAACACTAGTTATTATAATTTTTTTTAAATAACGGGTATAATCTCATATGATGCTTGGGCTATGTGGTTTTTGCATCACTTTCCTTGCATGCGGCTTTAATTTCCAAGTTGAAGCAAGTTTTTTTATTTATTATTAATTTCGGATATAATAGCCATTTAGTGTTGTTATTAGTTGGTTATAAAACCTTCTATTATTTAGAGTTATTAGGTCATTTTGGAAAATGTGTTAAAATTTGGTTAGATGTATATAAATGACCATTTGGGATGGTAGTTTTGTCATTAATCCCTTAATTTTATATGTTTTTATTCGGCAGTGTCAATCAGAACATGCAACTGGTGCAATTTACACCAAATCTAACATAAGTAGATGACTAAAATACCCCCAACTTCTCACAATGCTAAAACTGCCCTTTTTGCATGGCAAAAACAGAGACCTTCTTTTATCCTATGACCATTTTTTGTTCAATATATAGTTAAAAAGTTAGGTCTTTCAAAATGCTACAACCTTTTTATGGTTTGACACCTCCAATGCAAAGATATAAGTATACTAACACCATAGGGGTAAAATTGTAACTAATTAGGAGGTTGGATTACAAGGATGATGATGATGAACTTGAAAATATGTGATGTCTAAACAAGAAGTACCAGTATCTGTTACTCATTGACTTGAAGGATTGGTCAAAAAATTTAATCTGCAACAAAAAAAAGGTCAACTTGAGCATATGCAAGTGAATTATCAGAAAAACATAAAGGCAAATAATGTGGAGAATGCTACCAACCACCAAGTGAAACTGTGTCTACAAATGTTTAGCTCTCCAGTCCACGTCATCATCACTGTCCACATCACTCGATGACTCATCAACACTACTTTCTTTCTCAACCACTTGTGAAGCTTTACTTTGCTTTTGCTTTCCTGACTTTGTGGCCTTAAGCGCCAATTTTTTCCTCTTGAATAATTCCACTCTCTCCCTACAACTCCTGCAATAAGTCCAATTTCAATCTCAAGTCAAAAACCACTCAATCCCCCAGTTTTGTGTTTGAGAAAATGTATCAAACACAAATGATACACTGTGTCTGATGCATACAATATGCATCAGATACAGACAATATGTATCAAGCACATTGTGTCTGATGAATAACTTGTCAGACAAGTTATACATCAGGCACAGATAATACACATTGTGCCTGATGCATATTATGCATGTATCAAGCGCACATACAGACATATTGTATGTATCAAGCATATTATGCATGATGCATACAGTATTTGTCTGTCAGGGAAAATGCTACTTACCTTTGCTCTGCGGTTTCAGCTTCTTCGATCATCTCAGCAGCGTCATACTGAATGAAATTTAAGAAAAAAATAAAAAGAAAATTAAGTATTTAAAGAAGCATATTTTAAGTTTATGTGCATATAAATGAATAATGATACAAACCTCTTCCTCTTCTAACCGATTGTCTACCTCCTTCAAGTCCTCTTGGATCAACTTCTCAAACTCCTTGTACTCGTCTCTGCTCAAGTTTTTCATGATTTTAAAAATTAAAAGTGTTTCATGTAATTTGAAAAAATCTTATAAATTTAGTCCCTTTTTATATTAGCAAGCTTTTCTTTTTGTTGTTTATTAGCTAAACTAACAAACTCTATGGCATTTCAATTCACTAAAAAAACAAACAGTTGACAGAGTCAATGTGCTGACTAAATCAAATTGATGGGGTCTGTTTAAGAGCTTACAATTAACAATTTATTTCTCTTTAGTATGACTAAACTAAATAACTAATTATCTTTTCTTTGTCAATTTTTAGCATCCTAGACTGTATGTATTATATCTATGAGCATTTATTCAACAAATGACACATACTGCTGCTCTTGAATTTGATTTCAAGAACATTCAGAAAGCTTACAACTTAATGACTTTTATTGAAAAGAAATATCAAAAAACTTACTTGATATCTAGCTTAACAGGTGTAATTCCACGTGCACGTAGATCAGCATCTTTATCATCAAAGAAACCTTCCGGAAGAGTTCGTGTCTCAGAGCCCTCAATCTCAGCATCTATGGTCTCTGAAACTCTTTTATTCTCCACATTAAACACATTTGTAACTTGAACATGAACACTACCCACCACCTTCTTCTTTTTATCATTCTCCATTAACTTTGCATTACTGATTTCTATAAAGAGACAAAACAATTGTTCCATTTAAAACACTTTGAATGATATTTAAGCAAAAAACACACTGAAAAGTAGTAATATAATGCACTCTTACCATTCTTTTGCCTTTTTGTGTCGGGCTTATCAAAGAAATCAGAAGGAAGTACAGATTGAGGTTTAGGTTGAGCTGGTTCGGTTTGACTTTTAACTGAGTCAACAGGTTTGACTTTACCAGATTCTGTAGAACCACCGGGCTTTACATTGTTAACCTTACTAGCTGCAGCAGCATTTGCTTTTACATTTTTAATCGCCTGTTAAAATCACCAGTGTTTTTTGAAATCAAAGGGATAAAAAGAACAAAGAGGGGGAAAGAAGAGTGCATATATGATTATATACCTCGCGATGCTTAGCAGATATTTGGTGTGCACCCCAAGCAGAGTCAGATTTTAGGACAATATCACAAACCCTACAGACTGGTTGATCAGATTCATTGTACCTAGAACCAATAAAAGTAAGTGAGATGGGATTTATAACAGCAATTTTCATCATTAATATGAATTGAAGAAAGAACAGCAAGTAATCTAACAATCCAAGAAGATACAAAGCAGTTAAGGAACACCAATATTCACCATGAAACCTTGTTATGTTAAAGCTTATGTCATGTCATATTTGTGATTGCTTAAACAAGAACATGAAAAGATAAATGAAGATGAGATAAAAAGATCCAGCTACTCAAATTACTATTAAACTCCCAATTTTAGATGGCTAATCAGCTACCAGTTTTACTTTCTCAATAAATGTTTGTGTAGAAATTAACACTATACCTTACGAGAGGAGAATCAATACGTTTATCCTGCTTTTGCGCTTTCAATTTAGCACGATACAGTGCCTTCTTCTTTGCTTGAGCATCCATTACTCTACAACAAAGATTCTAAGATCAATCAAATATATAATTCCGCAATGATACTAGTTTTGATCAAACGATAAAAACGTAGAGTGAAGTTATCTATCCAAAATTAGGGTTCGGATAGCGATTACGTCGGTAACTTCATTTCGTATGTTGCAATTAGAGACTAACACAGCTGAAACTGAAATAGGGAAACATTATTTTACCTTCCGGACAAGTGTTATTCAAGCTGTGAAGTTTCCACCTCGAGAAGATTAGAAGCAATGGAATTGGAGTGGAACTGTGACCTGCTTTTAAAATTCTCTATCGCCGTCGTTGTTTTCTCGTCGTCGTCGCTCACAGCTCTTTCCCCTCCCCTCAATTTGATATTATACATCCGAAGAGGAATTAGTAATTCCATAAAGTTTTAAAGGAATCAGGACTTCATCTTTACGCCCCGCTGAGAGTTAAAAAAAGAAAAGAAATTTGTTTTGTGCGCGATTGGAAATAGAAGAAAAGTTAAATATTTTGTTCTTCTATTTTTAAATTTTTTTAAATCGGACGAAAAGTTAAGATGGAAAGTGATCATTCCATTTTCTTCCACTTCCTTCCTTTAATGAAACTCGAGAGCACCAATTTCTCTTACTTTCCTTTCATTTCCACAAATTTCCTTTCTTTTATCTCTTTGAGTTGAACTCGAGAGCTGGGTGTTAAAGTTTTAAGAGTAAATTACACAGATGGTCTTATGGTTTGGGGTAATTTTCTCTAATTTTTTTTCTCTTTTTTTTTTAAACTTAGAGGGTCCTACAATGTATTTTTTACGGGTGAGCATGGTGCAGTTTTAAGGCCAAACCAAACCGCAAACCGCAAGGTACGGTTTTTGCATTCTTAAAACCGTTGGGTGCGGTTTTCCAATGGTTCGGTTTTACGGTTTCTATATGCGGTTTCGGTTTGTATCGATGTGGTTTCGGTTTTAAACTGATTCTAAAATTTGGTGTATTAAAAAAAAAAAAACTCGATAACAATGTGCATATATGCTTGGATGGTGCAATTTTTCTCACTTTTTGAAACAGTTTATTTGTAAAAGTTTATTTACAGCCCATAATAAATTATATAAATCAAAAGTTCTAAGTGATTTTATATACAACGGTAGATTAAGAAAAAAAACTGAATTTTGGTTTACTTGTTATAACCTTATAACACATAGTTAATTAGTGACCTACTCTGTTTTGATTCTAACTACAAAAATAAAAACATAATAGAAAATAAGTTTGGGAAATGATTTTGAATCCCGATTAAATGGCTAAAATCAACTATCAAAGTCCAAAGTTCAAATATAATATGTATTAATATTTTAAAAAATATGTATATATTATAGAATATAAATATAAATTAGTGATTTATTAGTTTATAAATCTTCGGTGCGGTTCGGTTTTGATGGACCGGTTTCTTGATAAAAACCGCACCGACCCGTAGACCTTCGGTTTTTGCAAAAATGAAATCCACACCATTGGTTTTTGCATCGGTTTCCGTTTGTTGGTTGCGGTTTGTTGCGGTTTTGTCGATTTATTTTTAGTCGGTTCGGTTTTTGCTCACTCCTAGTATTTTTGATACGCGTTGAGCCTCTCACGGACATTAAAAAAAAGACTAAATTACATTTTTTTATTTATTTTTAATTAATTATCTATTTATTTATTATTATTTATTAGAAATCTAGTTAATAAATAAGGTGGGTCCCTCCCAACTTAACCTACACCCTCCCATCATCTTCGTTCTTCTAACCTACATCAACCATCACCAACCAACGTTCCACCAATGTTTTAAAAATCGATTTTTTAGTTGAACTGGTATGGTGACCGGTTCCGGTTCAACCGCCGGGTCAACCGGTTCTATAAATTTCAACATTTTCCCTATTTTCGTACACATACATACATATATAAATCATGAATTTGACGTTACTAGTTCAAATATTAAAAATATACATAAAAATAAGTTGTAGATCAATTGAAATACATTAAAATAACACATAACCATAAGTTTTAGTGTTTTATATCAATCCATATACGTCAAAAATAAAATAAAATACAATACCGAAACAAAATATAGTTTTAGATGAATACAAACACATCAAAAAATTTTATAACATTTACCATATGTTTTTATTTAGAGAAAACTAAATAGATTTGAAAAAAATCATCAAAGTTTATTGTGAAAATGGTTCTTTCTCATGTGTTTTTATTCGGTTTAATCGGTTCAACCGGTTTATTTTGACCGGTTCAACCGGGTTTTTCTAGAAACCGGCCGGTTCAATCCGGTTCAGAAATCGACATAAAACCGATGATAGTTGAACCGTTGTCTCCCCCGATTCCCGGTCCAACCGGTTAGACCGGCCGGTTCAAACCGGTTTTTAAACATTGTGTTCCACCCATTCACCATCCATCAACCATAACCATAGAATCACCTCCACGAAACCATCATCTTACCCAACACCTATCTGTAATAAAATAAAATAAAATTATAAAAAAAAAAAAAAAGTTGGATTAATGAAGGGGAGGAGTTAAGATGTTGATGATTGTCAATCGATTTTGAGGAGGAGACTGTGATTTCAATCTGCTAAAAGGGTGTTAAAAGGGACAAGTGAAGTTTCTGATGAGGAGGGGTACCTTTGAAGCCATTCTCCGCCGCCCCCCCACCCCCCCCCCCCCCCCTTTCCTTCTTCATCGCAGACCTGGTCATGAACGTTCATTGACGACTTCCCAACTATATCTCGTATCCTTACACTATACTTGCCAGACCTTGTTGTCGTTAGTGGAACGATAGACGGTCCTCGTTCCAGTAAGCATCACATTCCACAAAGTCGATCTTTTGGTTTTAGGTTTAAGTTTGGCTTAAGGTAACTTCATATGTACTGCAGAAATCAATGTGATTTCTTACAATTAAATCCCTTATAGTAGCAGTCTAAATCCATGGGTTTCAATATCAATGCCAATATGCTCTTTATCGTACTAGATTTCCCTGTTCTATTTACCCTGGAATATAGGAATGTTGATGGAAAAAAAAGCACATATCCATGGTGGTATGGCTGGTTTTCACAAACGGAAATGAACGGAGCATAGAGCTTCTAGGTCTTTTTGCAACCTTTCCGAATAAGATGAAGTGGTTCATTAACTATTTTGAATTTCTAGAGAGCTGGGGAATAATTTTGCTTCATCTTTGCTTTGATTATATGTCTAAGAACATTTTTTTGTTTCCTTGTAATAAGTAAAGACATTATGTGGATTAATTGTAATTAGATGGACCATATTTGGATTTAATCTAGTCGGAGAAGATGAAAGAGCAGCCGGAATCGGAGTAGCTGACACGAGAAAAAAAAAGGCAATGGAAGCGTGGGTCTCGTGGAATAGCAATAGGGTGGTGGGACCCACCTGTTTATTAACAATTTTTTAATCCTTAATAAATAAATAATGAATAAACATTATATTAATTGAAAAATAAATAAAAAGGGGTAATTTGGTCTTTTTATGTTTGTGAGGGACCCAACGCTTAACAAAAATACATTGTAGAGACCGTCCTAGTTTTTAAAAAAATTATGGACTAAACACACAAATTACGATAAACCATAGAGACCATCTGTGTAATTTACTCAAGTTTTAACTTGAGGAAACTTGCAAAAAGAAGTTTGCATTTTTATTTTCATGTTTATATTCAAACATATGTATTATGGTTATTGACATGAAAGTCATTATTTTTTCAAGTTTTTTCGGTTTTGTCCTTGTGACGGTTTTTGGTGCATGAATGTCTAATATTTGGGAAGATTTGTCCATTTTTAACCTTCTACAACAAGTCACCCTTCCCTACATCAGGTCACCACCACCACAATCTAACGTGCTTCCACCACCAAAAGCAACCACCACCCAATTGGTCGGTTACGGACCAACACAACCATCCTCTCCCTCCGGACCACAACAAATCGCCGCAATTTTTGGATATGCACACACCCTTTAAACCGTCTTCCCTTTGCAATCAAACCCAACTATCTTCCGACCACTAGAGGTACCTACGCCACCTTCCTCCCTCCTCTGGAAAAACAAAACCCCTATTATCTCTCCCTTTTGATTTCGCCACTACCCATGTTATGACTTGAAGCAACCACCACAACCATCTCTCTATCTCTCCCTTATGACGAATACAATAGAGGCGACGATGCTACCACCAACACCATATGAAATTAAAAACACATAGAGGAGGCGACGGCTAATGGCGACAACAACTAAGGTTCACGGTAACAACCGAAGGTGGTGGTGACAACACGGGAGGCTAGGGTTTATGGTGAAGATGTTAGTGGGGGAAGCTAAAGGTGGGGTTTTCAGTTTTAAGGCAGAGGGAGGAGGGTGGCGTAGGTTGCTCCGATGGCCGGAAGATAATGGTGGTTGGTGGGGTAAAAATCTTTAAGTGTGTGTATGTGTCCATTTCCAAATCTGCTAGTGTATGTAGGCTTATTGAAAATACCCGATACCCGATTAATCGGCCTGACACGTTTTGAATTCGGGTAAATCGAGTATTGGGTTTGGAAATTCGGGTAATCAGGTAACCTGATATTTAAATAGGTCGGTATCGGGTAGGATTAAGAAAATTCGGGTATACCCGAATGCCCAATTAGAAAAAAACACCTAATATTATTAACCTATTGATCAATATGACTATATATATATATATATATATATATATATATATATATATATATATATATATATATATATATAATTACATTTTAACCCTCTGTTGTTATTTAGTCAAATTGGCATTTATAAAATTAAAATGAATGTTTCAAAATAAAATCATAAATATGCTAGAAATGAGTGTACTAGAACATTAAAGAAACTGTTAGTCATCGCATGAACTTTTAGAAACAAATAATTAATATATGGCTATTAAACTACAAAATTTTGCATAGAACAATTAGTACTTGCAAAATAATTGTTGCTCGAAATTTTATGCTTCTAAATTTATAGTAATATAAAGCGTACAAAATCATTTTTTATATAACATTTAAACCTTATCTTCAACTTCACGATGCCCAAACTAATCATAAAAAATTTGCATTCAAACCCAAATGTAATAAAAATCCAATTAGTGATACTCAAGTAATTTTCGGGTATAACCGAAAATACCCGAACCTACCTAAAACCCGAATACCTTAAACCCGAAAACCCGAATTGCGATATAGGTAGGGTATCGAGTATTATTATTTTAAGGAAAAACTCGATCTACCCGACCCGAACTACCCGAAACCTGAAATTTTAACCCGATCAACACCCCTAGGTGTATGAATATATCAATTATAGGTTTGTAATCTACATGTGTGTTAGTGGAGGGATGGGCTTTTCAGAGATGAAG